GGAAAAAGCTTGTGATATGGAATAATTTTTAAACCAAAATCATCTTTAGAAATATCCTGAAATCTTATTAAAGGAATAAATTCTTTTAATGCGTTACCAATATCAACAAAATTTTGTGGTAACCAATCTTCAACATTGATATTATTAATTTCTGGATGTTTTGCCAATCCCCATTTAAGAACATTTTCCCAAATAATCATCTCATTAATGGAAAAATCATCCCTTTTGAGAATTTCCAATATAATTGGTTTTTCCAACAATTCAAATTCATTTGATTCAAATAATTTTTCACTATAATTGCAAAATTTTTCCAAGTAGATATTTTTCAATTCATTAAATCTTTTGTCAGCATAAATCAATTGTAGAATTTTAACTGGATTTTCTTTTATATAATCTTCATGATTTTCAGTAAAATATTTCATCATATATTCATAAAGTGATTCAATACCAAGTTGTTCTACAATAATTATTAATTCTAATATTTCACTTCCAGAAAAATTTTCAAATTCAATTTTACATGTGTATAAAAATCTTTCAACAATAAATAAATTATTAAACAAATTATTATCATTATTATATATTTAATAATTAAATAATATGATATATTTATTTAAACTTACTTGAGAATAGGCTTGAAATATTTTTCAATGATATTAGCATTTTTAACAATGTAATATCCATTTTTTTTTGTTGCATTACTTAGTGCATTGCTAAAAAATGGACAATGAGCAGATAAGATAGATGCATGTGCATGAATTTCTTTAATATTTGGTTCTATGCCAAGATATATTTTTACATCATAATAATCTTCTGTGTTTAATAATCTTTGATTTTCATTGAAATACTTTTCCAAAATTGTTGAATCCATTTAAATCAGTTACTACTATTATATATAATAAAAAATAAGCAAAATATTTAAAAGTTTTATTAATTAATTTTTATAAAATGTAAAGGCTGTATGACATAAATAATGACTGATCATCACCTTTTTGGGATTAGACTCGCAACAGATATAAAAAAAAAATGTATTATTTATTTCAAACATTTTTATTGATTATCTCGAATTATCAACAAATCTAACAATATTTCTTATATTACAAAACATTTACTAAAATATGTCTACCAAATTATATAACAAGATTTATGGTTTTTTAACAACTGCTGAAGAGAAAAAAATAAATGCAATATCAATTGCTTATCTTGGAATGAAAGAAGATTGTTGGGTTGAGAAAAATGAATTGAAAGCAGTTGTAGAAAGTGCTGTTACTTCAGCTAGCAATGTATTTGTGGAAGGGTCTCCTTGACAATTAAGAATTTTTCAAATCTTACCACAGGTTAGTTTATTTCAAGTTTGATCAGACTTTAATCTATATAGATGATATTGTGTGATCTATTCAAAAATGAATGCCGAATAAACAAATTCAGGATTTGTAGGCTTATATTTTTTCACCCATTAGCTCAGCACCCAATAATTCTTGCATATAATAAAGGGGAGTATATGCTACAGACTGTTACGCAGTATTGTAGTTCACTCTACTAACCTATTGTTTGATAAGATTATTGCAGGTTGAGGGTGAACTAAAAATATATGTTTTTTATGTAGATAAATGTCACACAAAGTTTCATCTGTGTGATGGCCACACAATGATGTTAAACTTTGCATATGCACTGATAATCAGTGTTATTTCAATGATGAAAAATTTATGTATTTCTGAAATCTAACGTATCATTTATTTTTTAGTTTGATAATGCCTTTGTGGCCTTTATGATATGGGGGCAATCAAAACAGATAAGGAATGACCACTTAGCTCAGATCAAATTGAAAAAAATATAAGAGAATTAAAAAGAAAACTCCAACAAGAAACTATAGCCCTTTATCAACGTTTATATTCTGATATAAATAAAATTCCAATTCAAGAATTAACATGGAAAGACCCCCTAGCCGATCAGATCATTAAAGATGATTCAAATATTATTCAAAAGCTACCAGGAAATCTAAAAAAAGCATTTATGGTATATGTTTATTAGACTTAGTCTATGTACATAATACATTAATAAATAGTTACATAAGTAGCCTTGTTACGGTAGAAATCTTTGCTAAAACTAAAAATATTTTTATATTAGAAACTGGTAAGGTTGATGAAACCTAATCATATACCAAAAGTTGAAAATATATGTGAGGAGTTTATATCAAAATTTATACCTGAAAAATCATCAACTTTACCATGTGGGTTAGTACATGCAGGTGACTGGAAAGAGAATGGGGGTGAACTTGAAGTTATTACGTTAAGAATTTTGGAAACCTTAAGATCTATTTGGTACGACCCGGCCTTTCGTTCTGAGTTCGTCGTTACAATGAATGAAGGTACCTATGTAAATAATGTAATTACCCCATTAATTAATGCATGTTTATTTAATAATCCTTTTGGAGAATCTGCCTTCATCACCACGTAAGTTTATATATTATATAGCAAAAAAGTGTGTTTTATATATTGCTAATGTTATATTTATATTTTTAGTTTTGAACGGCAAATTATAGCAAGTGCTGATAGAAGAGGGGATGGGAAAGTAGGAAGACGGCCTGATATTATGTTTACAAGTAAGGAGGAATATAAATATTATGAATTAATGTATACGGAATGTTCTAGGATTACTTGTACTGATCAAAAAGAAGAGAATGACAATATAAAATTATGGCGCGAGTGTAATGATGGTATTTACTGGGCACATAAAAGTCATAGGTTAGAAAAGGGACAATTTGGCATTATCGGAATGCAAGTAGCTGGCCGTAAGTTATGCTTGAATGTTCTTATTAGAGATGAGGTCGAGGTTCACCGATATTATAAATTACATGAAACAGAGATTCCCATTCGATATACTAATAATTCCTCCATTTAGCTAATTTGATATATACTTTATTGCTTTTCCGCAATATATTATTAATAGTTAATATGTCTCTATTACGCAGTGCACATGATTGCAGATCGAATAGAAATTTAGATAGCTTAACCGTATCAAGTGATCTAGAATAAAAATGTATTTTACTTTGTATTTCCTGTTTCAATAAAGTTAAGCCCTGGTAGCTGATTTATATATATATAATCATGTTTACATGTGTATTTAATTTACATTAAAAGTGATTGCGAACCTGCATTAACGACATCAAAAATTATGATCCCATAGAACCTTATTTTTATTGATATAAAAACATTGCTAAAACTATGTCATATACAGTAAATAAAAAAAAAATTAACTCATTTATAATAAGAACGCCTTTTCAGTAAAACTTCTCATATATTGATGAACAACTTCGGAATTTTTTGCCTCAATGCATGTACTCATGTGCGACAAAAATAAGTCATTGAACTTTGCTATTCTTTTGCTTATCTTTTTAAACGATATTGCTATTTTTGTATTCATTTTGTTATCTTTGTAAATGTATATGTTTGTATTCATTTTTCCTATTCTCTGATTTGTTATCTTTGTAAATGAATTTGCTGATTTTATATCCATTTAATAAATGTAAATAAATACGACACTTTTCATTATAAGAATTCTCAAAAAACTTTCTTTATGAAATATGACAGATGATACATATGCTCAAGTAAATCCGGGTGAATTAAATGAATATTATGACTAATTCAAAATTATCGTCGCATGAGAACCCTAAAAAGGTACACAGTAAAAATTGAGACAAATACTTTTGATAACCTTTCCTTTCCTTTTCAGACAAGCGTGTTCTATATTTTCAAGAAGTTTCCCGTAAAATTGATCATGGAGGTGACGCAAGTCTAAAAACCTTAGGACTTGTCGCCAAACATCATGCAATCAAAGCGAACACCAGTGATGGAAAACAATATCTGATTGAACGTGTAAATTCTGACGACCCTAAAGAATCCACGGATGTTATAGAATAACAAGAAAGGGTAGCAAGGTGTGGAACACTGACGAATTCCATCATTGCAAAAAAAGTGTTACTCTCGGTCAGCTCAAAAAGTCTGCATTTGGCGGTAAACGATATAATCTTCTGATTGCCAATTGTCAACAAGCTACCAATCAAGTTTCTAATACACATTCTGCTTCTTCTGCTAGTAAATTCCTTGTCTTAAATGTGTTCAATTTCGAATGTATATCATGTTCAAATTCTGACAATATATAATTTAACCCTGTATGATGCTCCAAATCCAGGTAATGAACCAGCTCAAAACCTTAATGGACGAAAGAGAACATCGAAAATGGTATTGGGCGAATTTGATTTTTAATGTGTAAAAAGTTAACTTGTAGGTTAATGCCAAAAAAGTCAAAGCTCTGATTTACATTATATATTGTTATTTGTATTTTATTAATAAATCAATGCATATTATGTTAAAATTGACCATTTGATTTAGAATGAAATTAGTAAAATATCCATTAATGAACGGCATTTTCCTAAATAAACACTAGGGAAAGTCTAATGTAATTTCTTTTTCCCACTAGAAGCACAAAGCCGTATTTTTTTTTTCGAATCAACTTAGATGCGAAAGCATCCTTATTTCATGAGATAATATCATATAACTGACGAATTATAAACCTTAGCGCCCAAAAAAGGCACACAATATTTTATTAAGAAAATATATATAAAACACATATATCATTGACTTTAAATACTGGTACCGCCTGCATCTTCTTGGAAAGATCCCGGTTCAGCACTATTGAATGCCAATTATAATCGTAACCCTCCTGCTGTATTTTCTTTTGATTGTCCCGGATTTTTAAAGATATTTCCATAAGATATTTCTTCGTTATTAACTTTTAAAAATATGAATCATTTTTTCTTCTTTGAATTGACCTATAATTATACAGAGCGGTGAAAATGAGAAATGAGGTATATATAAAAAACAAAAATCGCTTCATTCTGGAACAATTAGAAAAACCATGCAACTTTACAACGTAGTGGATTCTCCTCTTTCTTTTTTTTAACATTTCGTCATCTATTTTTTGATCATTCTCATCATGGATAGCGAGATAAATTTCATCCAGTCCCACTATGTAAAAAAGTATCATTGTTTAATCGTATTTTTATCTTTTGTAAAAAGTACAATCTGTGCATTAATAAAGCCAATGGGAGAATTTATTTAGCAATTTTAACTGAAAGTTCTCCTTCCATTGTAAATTTTTTTTTGATAAAAAATATAATATTATTCTAACCTACCTCACAAATTCAGTTTATTTATATCGTTCATTTGCTAAATCTAGGAACTCACCAAAAGAAAAATACTTGATTAGTGATTACGTACCCTGATCATTTCTCGGATCTTTCTTCATAAGGCAGGTCTATTAAGTCATGGTGTCAAGAACTGAATATATTTCGTCATTTGTGGGGAAATTAAACCTTCCAGTCTGGTGATCTCATTCATATCAAAGTAAGTGGTTTCTTTTTGCGCAGTCATCGTTGAAAAGGTCTCTTCAACATTTCGAGGATCAGTCATTTTGGTTATTCCACCGATTGTCCCATTGCAAATTCCATGATTAAATAACTTGTTGTTGAGGAATGTTACTTTTGCACCTTCTTGCTGAATGACATGCTGAAGGAGGTTTGCATGGTGGTTGAAGTGAAAATCTTCACTTTGATTCTGATTGAGGGTATTGTGGTTGATCGTATCTGCTGCAGCTAAGACAAATGTTCCAAAACTTTCTTCACCAATAGGTAATTTTTTACAAATCAGCTCATTAACTTCATTTGCTGATTTGCGTAAGCCAACCACATGGGTTGACCTGATCAAACATTGTGCTGGTTTGAGCTTCTAACTTTTAGCCATTATGACTTTCCAGACAAGTAGCCAAGTCGCAATTCCTTAAGGCTCCAAACGAATCAATGAAATTCGAACTAATTCGAATCGAATCGAATTACTTAATTTGATTCGAACGGATTCGAATTCGAATTGATTTGTTTCGATTCGAACGGATTCGAATATATAATTTGATACAATTCGAACTGATTTGAATATATAATTTGATTTGAACTGATTTG